TACCAACCTCCTCCAAATTCTGAAAAGTTAATAGGCATAGTGGTCAGGATGGAGTATGAGTACAGAGCTGCCCAAGTGCACTTGGGATAATTCAACATTGCCTAGCTCTAGAGTGTCCTCCTATTTTGGGTCTAAAGAAGCATGAAAAGAGAGACAGATAGTAACATATTTGAAGACACTTTTATAGAGAATCGGTAAATGGATTTTACAATTTTACAACAAAGGGTAATAACAGACAAAATCATAGTATGTGAAAATAAAAAAATAAATAAATGTTAAGACATTTTACCTGAAGGATAAATTGGAAAGTGTGATAAAGTGAAGGTCCATGTTTAAAAAAAAAAAAACAAGATGTTCATATTTTAGATGCAAAGAGACAGTCCATCACTAAAACAAGACCATCAAAACGATACAAAAAAAAAAACTACTAAAACATGATTAAAAAGAAACTACTACACCAAAACAGCAGCTGAAGAATGTTGAAGCTCAGCTTGCTTCCCAGATAAAAAGATAATAAAGCATCCCTTAAAATAAAGAAGATACCATATAGAAAAATGAATAATTTTGTTTAGGACTGAGGACACACAATTCAGATAAGGTTGGAAGGGCTGAACCAGAGGTCATGCCTTTGATACATAAAATCTTATCTGCAGAGCTCTTTAAGATAAAGAGAAAAACACAGTTTAGAAATAGGGGCACTGTGCCTATTCCATCAGATGTAGAAAAAATCAATAGGTCAAAAAAATAGAACTATTAAAATTATAGATTGGCTAAATTATGATGTTGCAGAAATGGTTACTCATTCAGTTAGAGTTAATTCATTGTTAAATTATATGTCATGTTGCTTTGTACTTTTTGTGTGTACTTGCAGTGTTATAAATGCATAGTTATCCTTATAATCATTGCTATTGCTACTGCTGTATTTCCTTTCTCCTTATTTGAAGCAGCCTATTAAATGGTGCTTTTCATTGTATTTATATTTTATATAATGTTATTTGAACTTGATGTATGCCCAAATGCTTTTCAGGGAATGAAATTACTTGGCCATGGAGAGAAATTAAACACCAAGCTACAATGGCCTCTCCTATATTGGATTCTTAGCTGTTGTTCTGAAGGAACAACTGTGATGACTGAGGAGAAGATAGAGGAAGAAAGGACTAAAAGGACTTAAAGGACTTGTTTCCTGACAAGCTGGGTTTAACCCTTATCTTATGTTGAAACATGAAGCTAATTCTTGAAAAAAAAAAAGACTTTAATTGGTATTATGTGAGAACTGCATGGTGGGGCTGTGTTTCTACAGTTGAGGCCAGCATTCATGGTGATGGCTAAAGGTGACTGTGATCTGTCTCATATTGTATATAATAATGTATGTCTTTGTTTAAGCTTTAATAGCTTAAAACTTCACTAAGACTTTTGGAACACTGTATGTGCATGTGTGAGTGTATGTACACATATATGTAAGCACACATTGTGCATATATACATGCTTACATATACATTATATGTATACATGCATGTACATAAACAACCACATGTATATATGAGAAAGGGCAGAAAAAGCAGGAAAGAAGGAGACAGACAGGGACAGGGAGAGAGAAATGCTTCTGAAAAAAGTCTCCAGTTTATTAAATAAGTAATATTTAATAAACTGTGGTAGGACCTCAGACCTGATGTTTAATATTTAATGAGAAAGTTGTTGAAATTCTACCACTTAATGTAGAAATACCTTGGAACCTGGAATGAGAGAATGAATAAGGAAAATGAGGTGGTGGCAGGCAGAGGGAGAGATGATCACTCCACCCAGGCTACATGTGGGGAGTGGTCAACCCTAAATCTATGCCACACTATATATTTGTAGCAGATGAATAAATCATAAGTGTGGAAGGCTTTGAGATCATCAATAAAGGCAATATAAATGTTATATCAATAACATATTTATTAGTAATATGTTAAGAATTTAATAATATAGTGCTATTTTGTAAATTCCCTCCATAGCTGCACTTTCCACATCCATGCTCTACTGTTTTCTGAGGTTAAGGATGTAAGAGGGATGTTAATTCTTCATAGCTCCAGCTCTTTGATCTCTTCAGAAGGCAGATGGAAAACAAATATTAAAATAAATATAGCAAGTCTGCTCAACTGTCTTCTCTATTGATTTCTCCCTCTGCTTTGGTATTTCTATAAGAAAAATAAAGTTAACAAATCTGTGGAGATGCTTTTATCCCATGGTCCAACACTGTTTCCTTCTTACAATGAAGATAAAAATTGAATCACCCCTCTCAGATGGGCGATTAAGAGAATTTGTTTTCTCTGAGTATTCTCTGAGTTTTCTCTGAGGAAAATTGATTGGGAAACCTCTCGTTACTGACAGCAGACAAGCATAACCCTCAAGGAAACTTACTGAGAAAATGAAATGCATGTTGTTAAGTCAGAACCTTTCCTATTTTGTTGTGATGGGCTTTAAGGCAGCCTTTCAAGTTTCATATTTTTTGCCAGATTTATTGCCTGTCCATCATTCTACCTAGGCAGAACAGAAATAATTGTGGAAAGCTGAAGTTCATGAAAGAACCCAGCAAAAGACAGGGAATGGATGTTACTGGTCTTAAGTCATCTTTCCTGATACCATTCTGAGGTACCTAGGTCCCGGGTGTCAACAAATAGCTTCTCATTTGACTTTCTCCCTAAAGCTTCAACCAGACCTCCTTTCTTATGTGTTATCTTCTCTCCAATATTTTCCAAAGGCCCTTTTCCCATACCCTATACATGTCATTAGAATTTATTCTGTCCTGTATCTTTTCCTTAATGGCCTAGCCAACTCGGGACTGTGATTCCTTAATCAAATGAACTTAGTCATGCAAATCTAGCAGAGGTAGGGAATAGACTTGTGATTTTATGTATATAGGGGACTCCCAATTCAGGAAACTCCCTTTACCAATGCAAGTCAGCATGTTGTTTGTAACTTAGAGTCTTAGCGAGCTGCTTAGAATACTGAAGTTAAGTGACTTTCTGTGGGTCATAGAGCCGGCATGTGTCAAATGGAGGAATTGAACCCAGGTCTTACTGAGTCTGAAGGTATCCGCTCAGCATGCTGTGTTTCTGTCACACAGTATCTAAAAAAATAACCCTTTTAACCTTTCCTCGTGACAAGTTTTAACATAGACCTTCTACAGTGAATGCCAGTAGCGGTATGGTATAGTAGAGAGAGTGCTGGATTCCATTCGGAATGTCTGCATTCCACTTCAAGCCTTATGTAACCCCAAGCTAGTCACAGATCACAGTTTAATAGATTCTGATATTAAAGGTCATATGTCACCTCATTTTACAGATGAGAAACCTGAGCTTCAGAGAAGCTAAGTAACCTGCCCACAGTCATACAGACAATGAGTACCCAAGCTGAGATTTTTTTTTAGAATTTTAAATAATTTTACTTATTTTTAGTTTTCAACATTCACTTTCATAAGATTTTGAGTTTTTAAATTTTCTCCCCCTCCCTCTTTCCCCCACCAAGATGCTGTGTAATCTGATATAGGCTCTATTTATATATTCATATTAAGCATATTTCCACATTAGTCATGATGTATAGAAGAATTAGAACTAACTAATGGCAGGAACCATGAGAAAAAAGAAATAAAACAACAAAAGAAAAGTAAAGCAAACAGTATGCTTCCATCTGCATTCAAACTCCATGGTTCTTTTTCTGGATGTGGCTGTTCCATCATGATTCTTTTGGAGTTATCTTAGATCCTTGCACTGCTGAGAAGAGCTAAGGCTATCAAAGTCAGTCATCTTACAATGTGGCTATTACTGTGTACAATGTTCTCCTGGTTTGCTCATTTCACTCAGCATCAGTTCATATAAGTCTTTCCAGGTGCAGGTGCAGCTCTGCCTGCTCATCATTTCTTATACAAGCTGAGATTTGAATCCAGGTCCCCTAACTTAAACTCTAATGCTCTTCCCAGGGAAAGACTGCTGAATTTAAGTCAGAAGACCTCAGTTCAAAGTACATCTCCAGGATTTAGTAACTATGTGGGCCAGAGAAAGTCACAAAGAATCTTCATCAGAGCCTTAATTTTACCATTTGTACGATATGGATAATTACAGAATTGTTGTGAATCAAGTGTTTTGTAAATGTTAGGGCATTGTTGCAATGTGGGTTGTCAAGATGCCATAACTCCAAGAATTTGATCTGCTGTGTGTTGGCACTGTTTCCACTGAGGCAAATCCTAAACTCTGAACACGTTGGTCTTCCTGGGATGGGGTGGCCAAAAATGTCACGCCTTACCCAACAGATGTGAAGGACATGGCTGTGCCTATGCTAAAGGATTTGATGTGAAGCCAGCTTGAGAAGACTAGCCCCAGGCATGGTTTTGCCTTCAGAGCTTTCCACTATGATGAAGTTTTGGAAGAGGGATTTGTAAAAGATTGTTATGACTATATTAGTGCTGTCATTGGAAGGAAGAAGGGAATTGAGGCAATTATGTGGTAAAGTGTATAGAGTGATGGACTTGGAGTCAGGAATATCTGAATTTGAAAACTGTCCCAGACACTTGCTAGCTGTGTGACACTGGGCAAGTCATTTATCATCTCTGAGAATGAATTTCCTCATCTGTAATAACAGCACCTCCCTCCCGGGATCGTTGTGAGCTTGAAGCGAGATAATGAATGCAAATCTCTTTGCAAATCTTAAGACGATATATAATTGCTAGTATTATTTATTATTATCATCATCATTATTCATTACTATCCTAGCTAATACTGGTGAACTATAGCTGAAATATTGGTACACAAATATAATTCACATTTATATGACACATTAACATTCCCAGTTCTTTTCTTGAAACTGAAAGGAAGCTAGGGAGGAGCACATGGGCTTACCTGGCACCTTAGAATGGTGCCAAGACAGCTTACTCTAGCAGTTATTCCATATCACTGCCCAGGGCCTTCTGATTGAATAGAATATAGTAAAAGCATAGAAAAAGCCCAGTTTCCTCACGAACTCACCCAACATCGTGAAGGCCCTTTTGTTGGTATACTGCCGTTTCATTTTCAAAGGGTGCACGATTCCCTGATGCCTCTCCACAGCAATGCAGGTCATAGTCAGAATCTCAGAAACAACAGCAGTAGACTGTACAAATGGCACCATCTTGCAAACAAAGGCACCTGTGACAAGGGGGGGAAATAAAGCATTAAAAATAAGTCTCATTTAAGCAATGTCTGCCTTTTTTTCAAGTATAATCAACGAATTTGAGGGTTCTGGGTTTTTGCTAATTTCTTTTATGCAAATACAATGCAGATTTGGCACTGGCCCACCTTCACAAGCAGCCTAGCCCATGGATGCAGTGTCCAACATGGCACTGGCAAAGCCCTTTCTCTCGGGGTTGCCTCATCCCACCTGGCCTTCATACTAGCAACTCTGGGGTTGGTTGGTTGTTCGTTTGTTCCCCACAATAGGGCCGTTCAGATCTGTGACTACATGACTGCAATTCAACTTGTCTCTCGGGATCCTTAGTTACTGCTGGTGTGGAAGAGATGTACTCCTACTACTCACCACAGTAACACCTAAGCCCCCACCAGGGTGCTTCTTATTTACACAAAATCAGTCAGCAGGACACCAATTATATAAAACATTCAGTTAACACTAAAACAAACATGAAAATAATCATAGCATTTGTACTCAATAAAAGGCAAGCGCAGATGTAATCAAATTGTGAGTCTACACACAAACCTGGATTAGACTTTGCCATCAATGTTCACAGTGTCTGTAGGGGACAGTGGGTATACATATAAAAGAAACCATTCAGAGAGTCTCCTGAATAGGGGAATCAATGTGCCTGGGGCAATTCAGAACGTTAGGTAGCATGTCTTGATGCCAGGCGAGGTGTCTTTAGATAACTGTCTGCAAATAAGAGTGATTCTCCAATTGATAAATAGCCAAAGGATGTGAATCGGATGTTTTCCAAAGAAGAAATTAAAGCTATCAATAGTCACAAGAAAAAAGTGCTCTACTGATTAGAGAAATGCAAATTAAAACAACTCTGAGATATTACCTCACACCCATCAGATTGGCTGACAGGATGCAAAAGAAAAATTATGAATGCTGCAAGGGATATGGAAAAACAGGCACATTCATGCATTGTGGATGGAGTTGTGAATGGATTTAACCATTCTGGGGAACAATTTGGAACTGTGCCCAAAGGGCTATAAACTATGCATACCTTTTGACCCAGCAATACCACTACTAGGTCTGTATCTCAAAAAGATCAAAGAAAATGGAGAAAAGACCTACTTGTACAAAAATATGTATAGCAGCTCTTTTTTGTGGTGGCGGAGAATTGGACATAGATGGGATGCCCACCAACTGGGGAATGGCTGAACAAGTTGTAGTATACGACTGCAATAGAATATTATTGTGATGGAATACTATCAAAATTGAGATAATGAGCAGGAGAGTTTCAGAAAAACCTGGGAAGACTCATACAAACTGATGCAAAATAAAATGAGCAAAGAGCCTAGAGAAAAGTATACACAGTAATAGCAATATTGTAACAATGATCAATTGTGAAAGACTTAACTATTCTGGTCAATACAATGATTCAAGATCATTCAAAGGATCCATGACAAAATATGCTAACCACTTCCAGGAAATCTGTTCAACTCTGAGTGTGGATTGATGCATATTTTTTTAAACTTTCTTTATGTTTCTTATTTTTTATTGGGTTTTTTTGGCAACATAGCTAATATGTTTTGTATGACTTTACATGTAAAATTGATATCATATTGCTTGCTTTCTCAAGGGGTGGAAGTGGGATGAGAGAGAGAGAATTTTGAACTTTTTAAAAATGGATGTTTAAAATAAATAAGTTTTTAAAAATAGTTAATGCTGCAACATGCATTACTTTCTGGGCAAAACAACTACTGTGTTATCTGCTCTGCTGCAAAGATGCTTCTTTGTAATCTGTGCTGTACTCTAGCTACTGAAGAAGTCACAAACTGTTTTTAGTACTCAGCTAGAAGTAGCAAAGGATTGAGAAAGTGTTACACTCCTTTAGTGACAAGCAATTCCCTTAAGCCAGATAACTGCCAATCTCCTCAGAGCTGCAAATAGCAATGGATTTTGCTTTGTCCAATCAGTTCTTAGCAAAGCCAAGCTTTTTGTTTTTCACACCAAAGCCTCTCCTCTGCTTCTCCCTCTCAAGCCAGAAAAGGCAGTAAAGAGCAACAAAAGCATCTGTGAGGGTTGTCCCTTTCTTGGGCTGTAGATAGGACTAGGGAGCCATCACTCCCGATGGTTCTTCACATAGCAGCAGTCTTCATCAGCCTTCTTCCCATGAACTCCTAACGGCTGCAGAGCTTATCAGATGTCAGTCAGATATCACAGCTGACTCCGACTCAGTCAGCTTGCTATATGTTGTATCTTCTTCAAGCAGTTTTTCTCATAACTTTCAAGGCCTTGTTTCCAACTCCTCTTGTCCTTGTCTTCCTTTCCTTCTTTTCTACTCTTTCTCTGTTTGCTTCCTCTTACAAGTTCTTCCCTTGTTTTGAGGCACTACCTCAAAGTCATGACTCCTAATAAACAATGACCCGTCTGGTATGATGTAAAACTGAATAATTCCACCTTTTTGTCAAGTATGAGTCCAATAGTCCTTAAATCATTTCCCCATAGTTCTCAGTTACATTGTTTACTATATTTTGTTTTGTTTTTCAGGCAATTGATGTTAAGTGAGTTGTCCAGGGTCACACAGCTAGTGTTTGGTCTGAGGCCGGATTTGAACTCAGGTCCTCCTGACTACAGGGCTGGTACTCTATCCGCTGTGCCACCTAGCTGCCCCTGTTTACTGTATTTTGATTATGGCCTTTAAAACTCTGAAACTCTTCCAGAATTATTTTGTGAATTGGCCATATTTGAGGCCATAATAACTCCTGAAGAACAAGGTATGGGATCTGCTTGTATTACATTCAAATTAACTGATGGACCACAATGTCCTACAGCAATTAGCTCAGTAATTGGTTTGCCTTTAAATAGGTCACTTCAGTACATTCATCTGAGGAACAGTTCTCTCTATTTGCTCCTCAGAACAGTCTATGTCTCTCCTCAACATTTTATCTTAGAGGATGGGCTTCTGCTCGAGTTGATTTTTATAAGGTTTTCTTTTAACACAAAACTCCTTTTCCCTTTGAAATGGAATGTACCTTACATATATATGAGAAGGATCTTTGATTTCTTGGTATGAGTAATTCTGAATGCAGGAACTGTCTCTATCAATACGGAAACAACCCATATAACCCAGAACCACATAGAAGTTAAGTGACTTGTTTAGAATCACACTGCTAGTTGTTTTCACAGATGTGATTTGAATCTTGTCCTTCCTCCTTAGATCTTAGCACTCTATACACTATGACACACTGCCTCAGTTTACATTATTACTATAAAATAAGAGAGAATACTTCTTTCATGTATGTTTGTCATATCACTCCATTTAGACTTTGGATATGTCCAATTTCTCCCCATTTAGTTGTTAAACTTCCAAACCATTGATTATTATTCAGTAAAGACAGTAAATGATCAAAAGCTAGCTGTAGGGAATTGACAATAATTGCAATAGGAAGGAGGGAGGGGGGGAAGGGAGAAGTGAATGTATGTTGAAGTCTTCAGAGAATTCTTCAGGATGAGATTACAGTTGAGTCTTAGCATTAAAATTCTGGTCAGTGACACTGCCATGCTATCAATGCCCTATGCTAAAAAAAAAAAAAAAACCAAACCTAAAATCTTCTGTTCCTCTTTAACCTATATAGATGATTGCTAAAAAGGACTCCTCCTTAGAAATGTCTTTCAAATCTGTCTCCATCTTGGGATTCATGGTCATTATCAGTCCAGGCATTCATATCTGGAGTAAAACAATACTTTTACTTGGTGTCTTTTGCTCTACTCTTTCCTGACTCCAATCAATCCTGCATACTGTTGGCAGATTATTATTGCAATAGTATATTAGTAATAAAAATAGGCAGTGGTGGGATGAGGTAGTTTTTAAAATAATCCATTTTGTCTTTCACTCCATTACTGCTAATAAAAATGCTCTTTCTCTTGAATGCTACCAAATTGTAATCCTCTTTATCTGATTTGTTAGCTCTGAGCCCCAAGATAGTGACAATATTTCTGGAAAATGACCTCTTAGATCTATCTCTAGTTCTTCCCTGGAGATGTTTCCCCTTTAGTTGTCTCCTCCCAATTGCTTTCAATTAGTACACTTGGACTAGCAAACACCCATTTTTAATGTTGTTTATAAAGAAAATGCAATATCTAAAACAAAGAAAGATTAACAGATTTTCCCTATGCCCTGGAGGGAAATGTTTCAGATATTCATGAAGAAGCCTACGAATGTAAAGAAGAAAAAGTATTATCAAGTCCAGATAGATGATGGGAAAACATTTCAGCACACAGCATCTATCTACTATCCCAGTCTTCTTTTGCTTTATGCGCCTCAATGTATTCTACAATCCAGTATTACTAACCTTCTTGCTAGTCCTCAAACATGACATTCTCTCTCCTAAATCTATGCCTTTTCACTGGCTGTCCCCCATGCCTAAAATGCTCTCCCTTCTCACCCTGCCCCCACCTACCTGCTTCCCTGGCTTCCTTCAAGACTCCACTCAAATCTCACTTTTTATGAGAGGCCTTTCTGGGTACCCTCCCCCTACCCTGCCAACGCCACTAGCTTCTTCCCTCTGAATTTATCTCTCATTTACACTGCATATATAGCATATCATATGTGTATATGTAGCTATTAGCATGTTGTCTCCTCCATAGCATGCAAGCATCTTAAGGTCAGAGAGAATGTTTTTGCTTTTCTCCTTATTTCCAGCCCTTAGCATAGTTTCTGGCACTTAGTAAGCACTTAATAAATGTTTGCCAATGGACTGATAAATAACATTATCCTAACCCTTACCATACCCAAATAACCAAAGCAGCCTCACTTCGGAAGTCCTGGCTCCTTTTTTGTGGCAGTTCTCTCTCTGCCTGTGCTTCTGCTCTTCCATACCTACAGGGCTTTTTATCACTTTCCTTTCTAAAGCTCCATGTGCTTTCTACTCTACACTATGAAGTGGCTTTCCCTTCAAGTCCCCCTTCTGGACTGATTTTTAAAGGTCACCTGAGATGTGGT